TGACTGAATTGAAAGTCCCGTTTGAGAGCAACACACAAAAACTGGCTTTTGAATTTTAGAAGAACAAACCCATTGTGGAGTTTTAGAGCTAACTTTTCTTTACTGTTCTCTACTGCCTTATCCTTCTTTCCTTCCTAAGCTTCTGATGCAGCTTCTAAGAAGGCTTTTCTTGTCTCTCTTGCAGGTGAAAGTCTGGAACGCTTCCAGCAGCTTTTGCTTCGTCACTTTTACAGAACATACCAGCAGCATAACTGCTGTAACTTTTACTTCCAGCGGTTATGTCATTTTGAGTGCTTCCCTAGATGGAACAGTGCGAGCCTTTGATCTACATAGGTAACTCTTAATAAAAAAGGGCTTTGGGTGTAATTTAGTCTTTTGCTTTCATCCCCCGAAGTCCAGTGAACTGCTGATTGTTGGTTTCAAGATCAAGTTGCATGAATGCGAGTCCTGCTTTACTGTAGTAGTTAGGAAGCCTATTGCTGCAGATAATACTTATGAACAAAATTCTGGAAGGTTTTTTTTATTTTTATTTTTTCTCGGAGAAGCTGGAAATTCAGTGAGATTGTTCTCTGGCTCTACAACTGAAATTGGCAAAGGCACCTGTCTAATTGACTGTCGGTCATAGTTTGTTGTAGTGGTAGGGCTATTATAATACACGTGTTCAGAACTGGATGTGTAAACCTCATGTTCTCTAAAGAGTGGACATATGTAATGTGTAATAGAAGAAAGCCTTTGTGTTTGAATATTTTTGGCTGTCATTTCTGCAGAGTTGATACCTTTTTTAGTCTTGGACTCACAGTTGAGGAGTTGCGTCTAACTTCACGTGAAAGATTTTTTTTCTATGTACCTTTTTCTGTTTTTCTATATATTAATTAAAAGATCTATTTCACATTTTAAATTCATGTAGTTGCTTTAAAAGACTTTACAAGTAAAATAAAATGCTTGGGGTTTTTTTGAATACGTTGTTAAAACATCTATTTAGGTCTACTTAAAATACTTTTGTAATACATTTTCACGTTTACAACAGATACCGCAATTTCCGCACCTTTACTTCTCCACGACCGACTCAGTTCTCTTGTTTAGCTGTGGACTCCAGTGGTGAGATTGTGTCAGCTGGTTCCCAGGATTCCTTTGAAATATTCATCTGGTCAATGCAGAGTGGGAGACTGTTGGATGTAAGGACCTACAATTGTTAGAGTGCCTGAAGTTAACATAGCATACATTATGAAGATTTTAAGTACCTTTGGGATTAGTTGGAGGGTTTTAATTCAATATTAAATGTTTATTGTGTTTCTATTTAAGAACTGGAGCTAAACCACTTTATTCCCAGCATTTTTTGATGTATTGTGTGGAAACTATCAAGCTCTTTCTAGCTGATGAATGAACACAAGCATTGCTGTGCTTTCTCAGGGGACAAGAGAGTCTGCTCCTTAGTGGTTCAGAGATTGTCTTTTCTCTGTATTTTCTTTAGGTAATGAAGAAATTTTAGGTGCAGTCCTAAGGATCAGCACAGCCTGTGGACAGTCTTTCTGGAGCAGAGTAGGGGAATGCTTGCTTTTGAATAGTTTTTTTGTGGTGAGAGTAGATTTAATAATGGTGGGACACAGTACTCTTGAGCAAATCGAACTCATTTGTCATTGTCAACTCTTTAGTGGTGTTGTTCATATGATCGCAAAGTAGATGAGTACAAGTGATTTATTTATTTGATTTGGAGTGTAGCTGTTGAATGCAGATCTTTAATAGTATCTCCACATGCACTTGAGTGGATCTCCAGTGTTGGGTTTAGTTCCTTTATGTGACTTATTTTGGAGAGGAGGAGGAGCTCAGTGTTTGAAAAATCTGTGTATTACTTTTATTCACAATTGTTATTAGTATGCTTTCTTGGTTATTTTCAGCTGCAGGACATCCTGAATTCCCAGAGCAAAGACTTGCTTCTTAGCAGTTCCTCTGGTGGCTTTGATAAGGAAAAAAACCGCCGTGTTCCTAAGTCTTAGTCTTCAAAGTGTTTTGTCAGGGGAAAAGACAATTATTGGTTTCAGTTACTTATGAGAAAGGCTACCATCAGATCTTCTGTGCACGTGTGCATGCGTAAGAGTGGTTATAGATGCCTTTGCAATAGTAGCACTTCCAGTGAAATTTTTTTATAGAGTTCTGAAACTAAAAAGTTGAGCATCAGTGGTGTGTATCATTCTGAATGTCTACAGGTATAGCAAGTTAAGCATGGTTTCATTGCTATATTTAGCTTTTGTTCAATATAGAGTATATGAATTTTGATTTCTTTTGCCTAATTCCATGTTATCTTTTTTCCTTTGTTAGGTATTATCAGGTCACGAGGGCCCCATCAGCAGTTTGTCGTTTAACCCAATGAAATGTGTCCTAGCTAGTGCCTCTTGGGATAAGACTGTCAAGTTATGGGATATGTTAGACAGTTGGAGAACCAAGGAGACTCTAACATTGAACTCAGATGGTAACCTTTGTTTCATCCTGTGTTGAATATATAATAATAATAATATCAAAAATATTTGGAGGATGTCTGTATTTGACATATCCTGTTGCTCCTACTTTTTCTTCGTAAACCAAAAGTTGAGATTTTTTTTTTTAACAGTACTGAGCTCATAGCACAAAAATCCTTGCGTTTTTTTGGCCACCTCTAGTTTTATAATACCGAAACATTGTGTTTGACCCAGAGAAAAAGTGAAGTCGCACTTCTTGCTCTAAAGATTCTTTTGGTAGTTGAGATAGAGAGGCTACAAAAATGTAAGGTATTTTCTTAGAAAAAGATTTGACTGCATTTTTAATCATGAATTAAATTCTCTGCAGTTCTTGTTGTTGCTTTCCGTCCTGATGGCAAAGAGCTTGCAGTTGCTTCTTTGAATGGACAGATAACATTTTGGGATCATGAAAACGCAGTGCAAACTGGCTCAATTGAGGGAAGACATGACCTTCAGATGGGAAGAAAGGAGCTTGATAAAATAACAGCCAAACAATCAGCCAAGGGAAAGTAAGTAGATTAGATAGCAGTGAAAGAAGGATGCCACACTTGCTTATGCTTTTGAGTTGTTTCTTGCCTTTTGCTTTTTACACGAGGATTTCAAAGTGCGTGTGCTGATTGAATATTTTGATGTTAGTTTTTAAAAAAAAAAAAAGCATGACTTGATATCTGAAGAGATCCTTTTTGTCTTTTGCTGTGTTTAACCCCGATCAGCATCGTTCTGAGCATCTGTTACTTTTCATCAGTTACAGCCTTGTGTTGCCTGCGTACTAAGAAGTTTCTCATATCAAGTTGTACATTTGGTAAAAGTGATAGGACTTTAGGTGGATATCTTGTTATGTAACTATTAGCACATAACAACTAGTGTGTAGAAAGTGATTATCTTTTAGGAATGTAAATAATGCTCTGTTTTCTTACCCATTAATATGAATGTGAAACAATTTTAAAAGGCAAGCAGTTATGTGCTATCTAAAGCCTGTAAGGTGGAAATCTTGCATTTCATTCCTTTCATGCCTTTCCCCAGATCCTTCTTTTTCTTCCATGCTACTTTCCCTCAAAACAAAATAAAAAAAAAGGAAACCGTCACTCGAAAAACATGTAATTTTTAGTGATGAGCTCATCTGCCTTCTCTTTAAAACATGCTGTGACGTTTTTCTTCCAGCTCTTCTGACCATCCTTAATTTTCTATAAGATATAGTTGAGAGCTCATTCACTAAGCTGCCACTTGGAATCAGAAGTATGGAAGCACTTGAGAAAAGCTTTTTGAAGTTCTGAAGTGTTTTTGATTCATAGTAAAGAACCAGTAGTACTTGGTCACGGTAAAGCTATTTCGTGTGATAAGTACGTATTACATGAATGAAGAGCTCAATTTTTTTTCCATAGAATTATTATTATTCCATGTTTTTACACTGTACTCGCATCCGTGAGCTCAGAGGTGGCATTGAAATTAACTGTATTTTTTCCCCTAGATCTTTTACTACACTGTGTTACTCGGCAGATGGTCAATCTATTCTGGCAGGTGGATTGTCAAAATTTGTCTGTATATATAATGTCAAGGAACAGATTCTTATGAAAAAGTTTGAAATCTCGTGCAACTTTTCTTTAGATGCAATGGAGGTATGTGTCAGTGTGGGCCAGTTTTGTTGTTTTTTTTCCTCAAGACTTTGATTTTGGTATTACATCTTGTTTAAGTGGAATCTGTGAATGTTTTTTTAAGTGTGGGTTCACTTTCTTGATATTGGGCAAGACAGCTGTAAGGAAAAAGTGTTTCTCAGGAAATAAAATTAACACCTGAAATTCAGCTAAACAAAGTCTGCTATACTGCAGTGTGCTTGTCTTGAACGTGCGGAACTCTTAAGCGTTGTTTAAGTCGGTTAGCAGTTGACTTAAAATTAATGAGATAATACGAAAATTTAAATAGCTGATATTTTATACTAAGCTAACTTTCCCTGGGTATCAGTTGGTTGTGTTAACAAAGAAGCATAGGATTTTGGATTTTAGAGTGGGCACAGGGAGAGCATCACTGACAATTACAAATTCAGTGAGTCCCTGAGTAACACCAAATGCAAAACTATTAAGCTTCTTTAAAAGTGAAGTGAATGGTGAAAGGCATCAGAAGTTAAGAAGTCTTATTAGACTTTTTTCCATCTCCTTACCGTGAAGGATAATGATTACTCTAGTGCTCTCGTGTTCGTTTTGGGCTGTATTTGGTTGTTCTAAATACGTTTGTTTGACAGCAGTGATACGTGAAGCAGCCTTCGTTCCAGTGCTGCCCTCTGTAGTGCTAGCATAGTTCAACATACAGCTTAAAAGAGTAGCAGATAATGGAAGTGAGCCAGGTAAAAAATAATCCTGAGGTGGAGGTGGGGATTAAAAAAAAAAAAAAAAAAAAAAAAAAGTGGGGGGGGGGGGGGAAGTCCTAAACTTCATTTGCATAGCTGTCAGGCTAGACAAGTGTTCTGTTAGCACAATGCAATTATGGAGGCTGAAGGGAGGAAAGAGGAGGAAGTGGTGGATGTATTAGGCGAACAACAATATAATAATGTGCAGCCACAGTCTGAACTGAGTTGCGTTATTCTGAGGCCGTAAGAGTTGAGCAGTCTTGATTCTAATCAGTAGTTGGGCACTGCTGCCTGCTATTGTGAAATCCTCAGTCTTCTCCGCAAATTAGGAGAAGCTTTGGGAAGAAAGTTTAAAGAAGTAATCACTAGGTAACTACTGAACATCTTAGAGAATTTTCAGTTAATCCAGATACTTGAAAGGAGATTCAGTATAGTGAATGGAATGTTTTTCTAGGAGTACCTAGATCGAAGAAAAATGACTGAATTTGGCAGCATGGCTCTGATTGATGAAGGTGCTGGAGATGAAGATGGTGTTGCTATTCCTCTTCCTGGAGTAAAGAGAGGTAAGTCTGCTTATGATAAGTAGCTGACTTTGGGCTTTGCTTTCTTGATCCTAGCTTTATGTGAATCATAACCTTTGACCTAGGTATTGAATATGAAAGGTTTGAGTTGTCCAGCTCAGTTTTCTAGTTACGATTACTGAATGTTCTGTTGGCACAGTGATCTGTTTCAAAACTTCTAAGTGCATGTATGGATAGATCCTTTTGTGTAGAAGAAGCACTAGAAAACAGAGGGTACTATGGACTACTGAATCTGGGACCCAGGAGACCTGAATTCATTTTCCATTTCCTTGCTTTGCCTTTGATCTCTCCTATGACAGTGGGCAAATTCTAGTCCCACCACTTCATTTAGTTTATTTTAGCTGTAAGATCTCTTGGACAGGGACCGTCCCTTACTGTGTCTTTCAATGCACCAGTTTTTGGCATATTCTCCCTTATTTTTCAACGTTATGATAATAGCATAGTTAGAGTTGACAGCTGGACTGTGAACATTCAGTGGATATTTAAATTCGCTTCTAAACTTCTCTTTCAGGTGACATGAGTTCTCGACACTTCAAACCGGAAATACGAGTGACTTGCCTGCAATTCTCTCCTACAGGTGAGTACTGACAACGAATGTAGGATTTTTGCCTTCCACGTGCAACAAGAGTAGAGCAATGGAGGAGTAAGAATGAAGTACCGTGGAGATGATTTCTCCAGATGTTGTGGAGTGCTCCTAGGTTAGTATCTGGTTCCCTGCAGAGTGGATAATTAGGAAATTCAAGTGTACGTCACTTTCAGCCGGTATTTTTCACAAGAGTTTTGTCATTACTGTCAGGCCTATCACTAACGTGTGGTTTTCCGTCTTTCTCGTGTTGTGCAAGCAATGGAGTGTCATCTGTTTATCATTACTCTTGTGCTTCCATCCTCGAAAAGACAGCTATTTTCTTAGGTACTGTTATTTCTCTTTTAGGACGAAGCTGGGCAGCCACCACCACAGAAGGCCTTCTTATCTATTCATTGGACTCTGGGCTAATTTTTGATCCTTTTGAGCTAGATATTGATGTCACACCCAGCAATATACACAAAACACTGCATCAGAAGGAGTACACTATGGCTATCATTATGGCCTTCAAGCTGAATGAAAAGAAGTTAATTCAGGAGGTCATAGAGGCTATACCTAGTACTGAAGGTAAGTGCATCTTCTGTGGAATTTGACTGAACTAATTGTAAGCAGAGATATGCAAACCAAATAAATTGACGCCTGAAGGGCAGAGGTTTAGCTCTTTAAAAAAAAAAAACATACAGTGATATTTAAGTACTCCGGTCTTTTTATTTGTTATGACGTAGATGAAGACTAAGAAGAAGGAGACGGTTTTATCGATCTACTACAGGCACAAACTGTTCAGCTCCTGTGTGGCCTACCCTTTTTTAATCTCAAGGATATCACTAATAAGGATAAAGCTCCGTTGTTATCAAGCTAGAGGAAAGAGACTAAACCTGCTTTGCGCTGTTTAGATAGGATGAGTTTCCGAAGTCACTGTTTTAACTTACATGCATAGTTCACACAATGCACTCTTTACTCTTGTAGTGCATACAGGTAGCTGACCGTACTAACAGAAGTCTTGCACTGTCTCCTGGTTTGATTTCACTGTTCTAGTTTATCTAGCTGCTTTTGAACATGGAATCCAATCATGTCCAGATATTGCTATTAGGTGAATGGCAAGCTTAATGTGAGTCAGCAGTGTGCCTGCATGGTGAAGGCAGCCAACCACATACTGGGCTATACTGTCACAATTTTAGTCAGCAGCTGGAGGGAAGTGATTAGTTCCCTCTATTCAGTGAGACCGCATCAGGAACAGTGTCCAGTTTTGCTCTCCCCAGTACAAGAAAGACATTGATATGCTGGAGCATACCGTGGAGGACCTTGGAACTGGTTAGGGGTCCAGAGTGCATGACAGCTGAGGAGAGGCTGAGAGAGCTGGTGCGTTCAGTCTTAAGAGGAGGAGGCCGAGGGTGAATATTTTTACTGTCTTCAAGTGCCTAATTGGAAGTTACAAAGAAGGCAGAACCAGACTCTTCGTGGAGGTGTGCAATGACAGGACAAGAGGCAACAGATGTGAGTTGCGACCTGGGATATTTTAATTAGATATTAAAAGATTTCCATGCTGGCGGTGGTCAAACACCTGCAACAGGTTGCTCAGGGAGGTAGGTGGAGTCTGTCATTAACATCATAGTAACATTAAATCATATTTTCTTAGAGGTTTACCTCACTGTTGTTACCCCAGAGAAAAGTGATTATTTCTTTCCAGTGTTTTATGTGTAACAAATAAAAAATTCCATTTGGTCAAAACATGCTCTAGTCTGAAATTGGATGTATTCCAAGCCAATCACTTTGTAGGATTTCTTACCTTATTCCCTAGGTGGCAAGCCTAATAATTATGTATGTCAGAGTAAATCATCTTTTGCATATATGTGTTGGCATAATAGTATTTTCCTCTGTCTAGCAACACTTAATTATTATTTTTTTTTTTTACTGAAGTTAACCAAAAATCCACAGATGTATATAGACAATACCGGATATGAAGGCAGGAGCCAAAACTCCAGGAGCAGAGGATGAGATATAAAAGTTTCAGGCCTTGTGGTCAACAGTAGCAGAACGAATGCGTGGCTCCCGCTTAGAGAGGAAGGATGTTTTTCACTGTTGGACATGAGATAGAGCAGTTGAGGTGGCTGGAGAGAATAAAGGTTGATTATTTGTAGAGAGGATCATGGATAACGAGATCATCAAACTTACATGTGAGATTATTTGGAATGGTTGCAGAGTCATACTCCTTTGTGCTGCCCAGTTGCTAACAGCATTCAGATACTTCTTCGGTGGGCAGGCATCCTTTTCAAGTGTCCTTTATTGCTTCTGATTATTGCACCTAACTCGTTCCACTAAATGCAGAATTCCTGTGAAGTCAGAAGCAGCACAACTTTGGTAAAGTCTGGCTATGCCAAACAAGAAGGAAAAGGTGGAAGTAAAAGTTCTGAAGAGGAGGTGGTGGGGTAGAATGTTTTGTTAGAAGGAAAATTGTTATGGCAGGTCTTGGAGAAGAGGAAAGTTGTTAAGCTCTTCCTTTTAAGTATAGTAGTGACTGGAAGGTTCAGATAGGGAACGACTTGCTTTCTGAGGGGCTGTGGTAGTGTGCCCTGACATACAGTATGAGACTTCAAATAGTTCCCAAGAACATGTTCTCCTCTTCTCCATATCCTTTCCAATGCTATCTTTCATGTTACTCCGTAGTAATTCAATACTCATGTCTATGGGGTTTTTTCCCCCTTTTTTCCACAGTTGATGTTATCTGCTCATCGCTCCCGGATCTGTATGTGGAGAAGGTATTGGAGTTCCTGGCCTCTGCCTTTGAGATATCTTGTCATTTAGAGTTCTATCTTATTTGGGCTCATAAATTGCTCATGCTACATGGACAGAAACTGAAAACAAGGTGAGCGAGCTCTTGTGGAAGTCAAAATGCTGACAGACATTTTGAAATGTCTGTCAGCCTGGGTGTTTCTGTTAACAGTTACTGAGATTCTGGATATCCTCATACACAACAATTAAAACTCTTGATTATGCAACTTCTGTATTAGCAGGTGTGTGTAATAGAATTGGAATGCCTAGTAGGATTTGTGAAGATAAATTGCAAAGGCAATTTTCAGATGCTACAGATAAAACTTTGCATAGGTTGCTAGCATGTAAATGCATGAAGATTTCAAGGGTGCTAGCAAGATGTGACGGAATTGTGCTTTTAAACAGTTATGCATATTGAATATAAATGAAATGAAAGACTTTGTGCAGGTACGGACTGCAATTTAAGATTTTCCTTGCGATTGTAGCATGCACTGTTCACTTCTTAGTACTCTGTTTTCTTACCTGGTTATTTTCAATTACATGGTCTTGCCCTGTGAACTGTATTCAGCTCAGCCCAAGTAGGGAGTTTATAGGCTTTTTGGAACAAAAATGCAAAATTAGGGTGTGACAGTAAGTGAGAGGTCAAGTAGCATCTGAGAGGGAGTCCTTCAAATTAAAGTAACAGTGCATTTGTGTAATCCTTTGCTTGTTGCAGCCATTGATATTAATGTTTGAATGACTGAAATGACCAGAACAAATTATCTCCTTTTTTGCTGTTTAAGTAGAAGTGAAGAGTTTGAATGAAATTCTTCCTTGTTTGGAGAGTAGCATAGTATTTGGAAGGAATTGTCATCATTACAGCAAGCAGAATCAGTTCTTTGAGCCTAAGTTTGACATTGGAAGAATGTTATTTCTGGCAATAATGTGCTATAATAATTGGTACAATTAAAAACGAAGAGCTTTTGTTTATTTGGTATCATTTTAAAATGTTCATATTTAAAAGTTAGCCATGTATGCTTTTTAAAATTTTGAGAATATAGAAAAATTCTAGGGTTCCACATGTAACTATAAATGACACTGTAAATTGTACGTTTTCTCCATTCAAGGTCAGAGAAGCTGCTCCCTGTGATCCAATTTCTTCAGAAAAGCATCCAACGTCATTTTGAAGATGTTTCCAAACTGTAGGTATCGTCGTATTCAAGAGGTTTAAACCATAACCCTTTAATAAAGCGTGGAGTAATTTGGGGGCTGCAGAGGGTATAGTATTAGAGGTTTGAAGATGGCTGCCTTGAAGAGGTGCCTTTATTTTAGGAGAAAAATGAAGTTATTTTTATTTTTTCTTTTTTGGAGAAAAGTGGAATTATTTGAGGAGAAAAATGGAATCCTATTTTTTATTTTTACAGCTGTGAATGGAATATCTACAATATTAAATACGCATTGGCCATTTCGCAGCAGCGGGGCATGAAACGTCTGGCAGACACATCAGCGGATGAAGACGAGGTGGATTCTGACAGTGATTATATTATGCAAGATGTTCGTCAGGAGAATTTTAGTTCGTAGTGACTCTTCATGAGAGGAAGAAAAGAGAAAGTAATTTTATGCAGTGGTATTCACTGAGACTGAGTGGCCCTTATAGAGGCATAATTTCACTCTCTTTAACAGCATGGACAGAGTTACGTGCAAGTTACAGAAATTGGTTAAGGTTAGGACAAGCAGAGTGCCTATCCATGGTATACTTTGTGTGATCTGTGAAGTCTGATGAAGTCCCAATAATTAGGAAAAATAACATACCTGTACCAATGAATATGGGAACAAAGTTACTGTGCTATAAAACTTCCCCAGGGATTTAATTAATAATCTGAGAGACTATGGTAAAGGTATCTGTTTGTAAATTGCCAGTTCAATAATGTAGCTTAAACTGCAAGGGATGGAATGTGTTACAGATGTTCATCTTTCCCTCATGAAAGCTCTTGTTTTGTTTTTTAAATGTTATTCATTAAAATATCGAAATCTGGAAGTTGTAGTTTCTTTGCTTTTGTGAATTGGCATGGGAATTGGGTAATAATGACATTGAGGTCCTGAGTAAAAGAAAAAGATATGCTTGGAGTGCTTCCAAGCCACATGTTGAAAGGGCTTTGTTAATGAAGATGTTGCAAATACTAACACTGAGCCCCCAGTGATTTTTTTTAAAGTGTGTTTTGTTCTTCTGCATTTGTTTTCTGGTCTCTTTCAACTCTTGGAAGAGAGGGGAGATGGGATATTGAAAACTGCTGCAGGAAAAAAGTGTCCAAAACATGCAGCAGACACATGCAGTCAGTTTGTAGGGTTTAATAGGTAAATAAAGATGCACTTGCTACTTCAAAATAACTACAACATAGCATTTTTTTTCTTAGGGTAAAACGTTTAAAAATATCTTCAGTGGTTGGCACCCCCCACCTCCAGGAGTTTTCAGGTCATGCCTGTTTTTCAGGGTGTCAGACACAAAAAGGGGGGGGAGGGCTGAAGAAGTAGTGGGGCTGGAGAGAGATGCTCGTGGAAGATGGTCTGCAGTGTTGGGTTGAGACTTGGACTTGCTTGTTGTCCTTTGCCCCTCTGCCTCCTCCCCTGCCATTGTAATAGCAGAAGAGACAGAAGAGAAGTGGGACTAGAGGGAAAAGAGCACACAAAGAACGAGAGAAAATCCATCTTGGGATCCTTCTCTGACACGCATAAGCCAGCGTGCAAAGCATGATCACGTTATGTGACATACTAACACAATTGTTACTTTGTAAACCATCTTACTGTTTTCATATACCTATCTGTGCTTTATTTTATTTTATTTTTTTTTTTTTAAGACAAGATTCATCCAGCTAGCTTTGTGGCCCGTAGCAGACAGGCTGTTACTTGTTCCGGGACTGTCATGGCACTAGCTTTGTACGTAAAATAGGAGTTGTGCTCTTTATGAGGCAGCCTAACTTGGTCCCTAAGTTTGTATTTGTCCCTTGAGCTCACAGCATTACAAAACACAGCGTGTGGAGAAAATCCAAAGAGAGACGTGCTTTGGGGTTATTTCACTCTTCATGTTCAAAACATTTCTGAAGATGATAATTTTGCAAATTGTAAGTTCCACACAGGCCGAGAGCCCTGGGGAGGGGGCGGTGTGGTATCAGCACTTAGGTAGAGCTAGGGACACGTTCTGCTCCTGCTAGTCATTTTACTTAAGCTATTACGAGTCTTTAGGTTATCCAGACAAATCTTACGACACACGTGAAAGCCAATAACATTTTCCAATATTAGATTTTAAGTCTGGTAGCTCCAAAGCTTGGCTTCATCTTCGTGCGCGTCTGCACAGGTTGTCGGCCGAGTGCAATGGGGTTAGGCTGTACTCCTTTAACTTGTTTTCCCCCCTCCCTTCTTTGGAAAGCTGTATTTCACGAGATCCTAAAGGCAAGCGGGGAGGCCGCCTTGTCGTCTCGCCGCTCGCTGCCCTGCGTGCGGGCCGTGCGCCCCGGCCGCGGGCCCCC